GTCATATGAATGAAGAGACAACCTCTAGTTGAACTGTCTTATAGGATTTATTGCAGCTGCACAGTATACACAGATGGATAACAACAATAATGAACTGCTTGAACACTGAACTGGTATTGTAGAACGGTAGAACTAGACTGTCACTGTAACTCCGTGTATCTTCTTATGTAGCCTAGAGTCGGACATATAGAAAACGGTTACGTAATAGGTACTGCTGTTGCCAGATACCGTGTTTACAAGTTCCCTAGCAACCGCTTTTTACTCGCTTTTGCCTGACAACCGTTGTTTACTCGTTGTTGCTAAGCAATGACGCTTGCTTTGTCACACTTGCTTGAATGTGGGCAGTTCCCACAGAACCTACGCTTCACCTCGAAGCGAGATAAGCTGTTCGGGGAACTTTGCCCTCAAAATTGTTATCGAAGATCGAGCTGTGTGAGCCGTGGCGCCATCCTGTTGGAATCAGTTATTTCCTAGATGAATTTGTTCAAGAGCGGTCTGTATCCCTTCGGACTCGTGAAGCTCTTCCTTTCCGTCTTCACGGTCAGTGTATCGTGAACCTTGCGGTGAGGTTCCATCCCCTTTGCATTGTATACTACAGTCGCTATGTTTAATGCCTGGTCCAGGGTTTCCGGATTTGCAATTCTTAACTCCCTTCCGGCCCCTCCTCTCATTCCATAAATGAAACTGGCGAGGAGCCTAAATTCTGCTTCCTCTTTTAATATGCGCTGCACTGTCGGGTCTTCGCTCTTCCTTACAGTCTTCATGCTCAGTGCCCGACACCTGTCTAAAAACTGGATGGGCGATTCTTCCTTCCCTTGCGTGGCTTCGTGTAGTAGATTATAGTGGTACCGAACTGGTAATTTCTCAGTAAAACGGTCCACTAGTGCTGCTTTTAACACTTCATATCTCACGTTATCGTTGGTTAACTGGTCTCTACCCTAAACGAATTGCCTAGCTTCACATGTTAACTTGGCCTTTATGATGTTTACCACGTCTTCCTCACTCCAATTACTCACCCGGGCACACTGTTCTACCTGGGCTAAGAATTCAGTTACCGGCTTCGCTTGCGACTGACCATTCCATTTCCTAATACTTGTTGCCAGTGATAAATCCTTTGTTTTCACTCCTATTGTTAAACCTTTCAATTGTTGTTCTAACTATGCTATTCTTGCCTCCATTTTGTGGATCCCTTTTATCTAACCGTACTTAGTACTTGACCTACCACCTGTCTCTTCCTAGGTGTATGTTCGAATCACGGCGCTGCCGCCACTGTTACGCTCCTGCGACAGGGGTGGATTGGTTATCCCACCGCTGTCACCAATTTGTTATGCCGTGGTGACAGGGGGCGTGGAGGTATCCCGCTCTGTCACCAGGTTTAATATGCTGCCACCATCTATTTATGTCAAGAAAATTCCAGTAAACTTATCGATCGCTTACGTCACTGATCCTGGCTTTAACTCGCAATTCGCCGAAGTTTCGGGAGGTGCTGGAGTCGTCAGGGAAGAAGGTAACACTTGAGGGCAGGCTAAGTTCAATTAATATCACAGCGCATTTCTATTCTACTCTATTCATCTATGTCTCTATATACATAATATATACAAACTCTGCCGACGTTCGTCGGTTCGCATTACATTTGGTTATGACCCTGTAGTTCACACATTATTGCTACCTCCTGTCACCCTGCTGTTGGGTACCCAATATCTCTATCTATCTCTCTCAGTAAACCTAGTCCATCTAGTTTTCACTTTCTCTCCCTGGGGTTTGCACTTTAATGTTATCACACTTAATGTTCATGGCTTATATGAAGTTGGTTCACTTACTTGAGCTGAGGAAACGGACGATCGCCATCACCCTCTCGGCGATAGCCTCCGGCTGAACTCTATGTCAATTAATAATATTAAAAAGTAAAAAGTCAAAAGTTTTTAGATTAATTCCACTATAGTTTATGTACCCACTTTTGCTGACTCGCGGGGTTCAGGGGTGTATTGGCCCGCCAATTCTGACGTGATTTTGGGTCGGTGTGGCCCACTCATTGGCTGTTTATCGAAAGGGGTTGGCTCTTTCAGGTCTACCGCCCTCTCCGACTCAGCGTTCTCCTCATGCCATAGTGTTTATGACCTACTCCATATAGCTTCTTCCTCAATGTCAGCGTTATTACGCTGTGGCTGTCTGATTACTAAGCTAATGCCTGTTACACTTCTTTGCAAACCCAAGCTTCCTGCTACGTTTCATCATTTGTGTTTCTATATCTTAAAGTCTGGATACAATTATTCCAAATTTACCCCCCCCCCTCAAAAAAAAATATATCTACCTGTACATAACTTTTGCGCCTTTACAAGAACTATGACACAAAATTTTTGTTTTCTCCTAGACATGCAACGTGCTCTAGAAGTGGGGCCTTATATGTCGACGAGACTAGTCGAGCTTTCTGCGCAGGCGCTACGTCTATCTCCCTCGGAGATTCAGCACGAGAATAACCGCTCTGTCACAGCGTCAGATCGCCATATATAAGTGCTTAGGCAGTTTTTTCTGAAAGCGACTCACCTTTAGGAAAGAGTCAAGCATTGTATCTTAGTTTTCAATTGTCATCGCGACTGAGTGAGTGGGTTTCCAGTCTCTTATGTGCGAGTTCGTGGGATGTATCGTCCACCTGGAAACCGGCCACCAAGGATTCGTAGTTTTCCTTAGTCCTTCCAGACGGATGTATGGAATGAATGAGGAGAGGGAGTTACAGGTTTGTGTACAAACAGGTCAGAATAGAAAAGTTCGTCGGATTATTTTTATTCACATTCTAAATTGCATGTAATTATATTTTTAATATAACATTAGAAATGAAGTGAAACACATCTGCCTCGTGATTTTCATTGTTTGATTTTAACTACTTAAACAGTCAGTAAGCAGTAGTTACAGCAAATACTTGGCATAGAAACTTAACGTGCACAAAAGTGTGTGTGTGTAATCCCCTTGAGGATAAGAAGTGGTCCATCTGCAGCTGCTCGTCTCCATTTGAGAATTAACGGGAAATTCCGTGACTATGATGTCCGGTACACTGAAACAGACACAAAATTTTGCTTGTTTATATAATTGCAATACTTGTTAATGACCAACAAATGTAATTTTCTGCTTCAAAGTAGGAAGGATATGGACTGAACAAAGCATATGTCAGAATTTTACCCTCTGTTGTGGATAGTCAATTCATCTAATGCCAAATCTTCACACCAGAAGTGGAGGCCACACAGCTTCACATCCAATTCGGAATTTGGGCAAAATTTGCTGCTCCATTATCAGTATTTATTTCGTACAAACTGTCATTCTTAGTTTTGTGTTTTTTAGAATATGTCCTCTCTCTATTTCAGCACTGACTTACCTAACACACACAACTAACTAACTAACAATCCGAACAATTTATTAACTTTATATAGCTCAGTCCTGCCTTAGAAGCTGCTAGACGCTCAACTACTCAGGAATTTCCCGGCATTTTATGGAAACCGAAGATTCATTACTGTGTTCACAGGAGCTCTCCAATGGTCCCTATCCTGAGCCAGACAAATGCAGTCCATAGCTCCCTATCATATTTTTCTAAGATAAACTTTTAATTTACCTTCCACCTACCTCTAGTTCTATCTAGTGGTCTCTTTACATCCGGATTTTCCAACATTATGTCACGATACATGTACTTTGCGATATTTTGGGTTTTTATGGACTGCACACACCGGATTTTCATAAAGGGATCCTTTGTATCATTAGATTTATCCTCCTCGAGGGCATGTACATGCACGTTCGGAACAGTGACTCTAATTCAGAAGGCCTGCTTGAAAACGTCCTTGCCTACTTCACAGTGAATGACGAAGCGCTTAGTATCCACACAACTTACCACATTTGCAAGTACCTCCGTCACAGAATGCCCTCACGAAATAGATAGTGTACTGCTTCTGGCATGTGGCCCAACATTGCTGGAAATCGCAGGCCGCTTCTATAAAAAAGAAGCAAAATAAGGATGGCAGTAAAGGCTATTTTTCAATACTCAGCATAGAGCAAATAGAAATTAAATTCTACCGATAAGAAAGAACCTCCCATTTTTGTTTGTTTCAAGTTGCCCAGGTAAAATGTCAGCCATGATAAAGGAATATGGTTTGGAGAGTGCTGTATCTTGGTTGTAATGCCGGAAGCCTGACAGAGGCTTACCGTTGTTACAGAAGAATAGAGTGCCTCCTTTTTCAGTTTCATTAAGTTGGGTGAATAGGGAAATAGAAACAAGCAGAGAAATTTGCCTGCTTCTTGCTGAATGCCGGTTTTCTTGCTTCACTTATATGTAAGCACTGAGGTTGGAGATAATATAGACATCCAAAACGTATGTTTCTACTAGACTACGTGGAATCACATCCCAAAAATAGTAAAGATTATAGACACTATCGTAAAAACGTCAAATGGAAATAATTGGGATTAATTACCAGCGGAGGAAAGATAATTTTTCTCTTCTTTATAACGTACAGTGTACCTTGGATACAACCCAGTCTTCTACACAATGGGTGCCGAGGGCTCTTTCCTCAGGAAAAATAGAAGGGAGTGAAGCTGGCCAGTCAACTATTACCGGGGTTCAGAATGCATATAGCTATACTTTCATTTCGTCATTGATATTGATTAAAAAGAAAGTATAAAGTTATACCTCTGCTACATTATTTAAGCACCACAAAATGGGGAAATATGGGGGAGTGGAGTTACAGCTCCACGTATTCTGCAGCTCTCGGTTACTCTTAGATAAGAGAGCAAGCAGTTCCAATACCGGTCTGTACGCCGCGGGGTAGAGGAAAATTTACTTGTAATTACGAATTGTGAAAGGTCAATACGAACAATTACCAATGCAACTTCCGTCTATAATCTCTCATACACGTGACGGTAAGTTAGCTTACCTGCAGGGTACTGAGCGATGAATGTGCCGAGCACCACCAGAATTGCAAACAGGAACACGGCAGTCCTCATTGTAGCGAACTTGGAGTTTCTGGTGTATCCTTGGTATGATGGAGTACTCAAGATGCCCACAGATGGCTTTCAGACACTGCGTGTTGCAGAAACCAGATTATATTTCGAGGAATTTCTCTATTCCAGCCAATGAGTAACTTAAGAATAACCTCTCAGCTCTATGATCTATGTAAAGTCTGTAGTTGTCTGATACGTGGGTTAGGATATGTTTTAGCACATCCTGTGATGTGGTGTATATCGCGCCTTCGTTGTTTTCTTGTGGCCAGAATTTCGTTGTTACTGAAGTAGGATATTTTTGCTAAGATTTCGCATTTTGCTTCCCCTCCCCATATCTCTCAGGCGCATGTTTACAAGAAGGGATTAGAACAATCTAGTCCCGTTTCTATCGTTATCATGCGGTCCCTGCACACCATGGACAATAGACGGAAGATCTGGACTATAAAGGCTAACAGAATATTCCTTGTGTTAGCCTCGGTCAGAACGCGTCATGGATCTGACGTCGTTCATGTAGTCCTGTACGAGATAGCAGTGTACAGGGGAATGAGTTTTGAGATTTTTATGGAGGAAAGAATTTGGATGGTTTTCGTGTTGGATGTTCAATAATGCTTCGGCAGAGGCTGTGCTTCCTTCTTCATCGACAATGAAAACTGAATTGATCCATTTGGATCAAATATCCAAAAGTTTTTCAATTTTATTTTGCAATGTTCAATTTTTCTGCGTTTCGCCATACCACATTTGTAACTGCATACCTGGATGTGTATTTTATAACATGAAATTAATTTGTCACTAATTCAATTCGTTAAGGCGGCAGACATAGACATGAAGCCGTTTCGAATCCCATTACCCTGACCACCTGGGTCACAGGCGGCCTAATCTATCTCGCCTTCGGAACGTTATTTGCAGACTCAGGTACATGAGGTACATGGTACATGAGTTAGTTGTAGTTGCAGAGCGGCAGGAATTCTGCATGAATATCATGTGTTGTATCAGTAAACAGAAATACTTTATTTATTTAAACTGTAAGAGTCCAGAACGTACGTGTATATCCTCCCAAGCAGTAGCACAGGAGTAATAACAAATGACATTTACCTTCTCGGAGCTGTTGGGATTCCTCGCAGCAGTGGCAATCAACTTGCTTTGGCGTGTGCCATTTGCTACAGTTCTATATATCCCTAATTGCTGTTGTTACGATAGAAATTTTATAGATTAGGAAATAGGTTTTTATTTCTATTTTAATTTGTTGCTTTTTGTTTTTTTCCCCCCTTTTTCTTAAGTTCCTTTTTTCAACGTTAGAACGAGTAATATTTCATCCAATAAGAATTGGCTTGACTACAGAATTAGTCAGAAACTACTTAGTGGAATGTAAGGCAATACGCAATGAATTTAAGAGAATATAAGTATTTATTGTTTTTTACCTTATCGGTGTTGCTGGGACTTCTCACTGCCGCGACAACTGGCCGTGCTTTGGTGTATGCCACTTGCTACAGGTCTTATATATATGTTGATATTTTGGTTGAATTTTCCTTGAAATTGAAACGCGCATGTCACTTGTTATCAATAACATTTTTGTATTGTTATATTAGAAACCCTGTGGTGCAGGAAACCATATATTGTAAGTTTGTGTCAATGTCTCCCACAAAATTTATGTAGTAAATTCCCAATATTTTTGCGATAACCGGGTTTGTTTCAATGTGGGCACATGTCGTGTTACAGCCTGGTATAATGTCGTGGTATCCAAAGAACTCATTAGGACATACTTAATAAATGTTAAGATAGAGTAACTTTAAGCTGTTTTTATACCTACTCGTATATTTCCACATATTTTTGTCATCTCTCCCAGTTGCAACTTTTATGTCACAGCCCTGTGCTTTAGGATATTCTGTTATCTGTTTTCTAGGGTTAACAAGACACAAATTTGCAAGTTGGAAGAACTCCAATTTCTTTGCTCGTACCACTTTGTTCAGATGCTTAGTGATTTATTATACATGCATGTAGTATGGGTTTTATAATGTGGCGTATTTGCTCTATGTACGAACTTCTTAGCTATGGAAACAGCCATTTCCAAATAATACACGCACTCAGCAATGCAACAATGGGGTTATCCTGCCCACTTCTAGATAACGGCTCGATAAACACAATTCCGCACAGGAAATATATTAGATTGCGTATTAAATTCAGCTCAATTATATATCGAAAATTTTTTGATACTATAAATATTTTCTTATATAAGGAGCAGAATGTAAACAACCGAGCCCAAATTATAAAAAATAGAAAATAAAATACAGACAAAATGTACGGTCTTCTGTGCTCTGACATACAGAATATATGTATCATGAAGAAGGAATTTCAGTTTCCTCCGAAACTTTGATACCCTTAACGGTGTCACACACGGACTACCACTGTCAATAAATTCATGGAATGGCCGTAAAGCGTCGTACGGAAATTTACTATAAAAATATTTCAGTTATATCAAAGTTCTCAGACTTGAATAGCGGTCAACGGCAACTATTTTAAGGGCAGATGTGGATCTGCGTAAGTGTATGTGAATACCTTGTAATATGATTCGATAAAACCACATTCCACGAACTTAATGACTCTACAATATATGTCGGAAGATATTAATGCAGAAAGCAGTGAAACTCTGTGGCATCACGAGCAACCACAATAATAAAGTATTTCACGTAAATCCACAACTACTGCGCCTGAGAAGTTAGTCTCCCGGTAAAGCGCTAGGCTTTTATTTTTTTGGAAGTTGTTTAGCTCTAATCTAGGCTAATACCTGAATGATGTTTCTCGCGGTTTATCTCAGTTCCTTCAGGCAAATGCCGGAATACTGCTATAGTTATATCACTATCGGTTCCTTCTAAATACCTTTCAATTCATAATTCATCCGGCATCCTGCCATTCGTCGCTGTGACGTCGTCGTCGTTATACCGAAAGGGTCGTTATTCGAACCACTGATCACGATACCGTTCCTGATGTGATGGTACAAACAACGTAAACATTTACAGTTTTGGTTGTGAGAAAGGAAGCAGAGCATCACATGAAAGAGATACGAGTATTGTTGCCAGTTAGCATCTCCGTTTCGCTGATGAATGTCTCGCCTCTGGCTTCTGCTTGACTATTTCTCGTTTAAAGCAGCAACAGGAACACAAGTCTACTGTTATTCTTAGCACAAAAGTGTGACTTATTGGTATTCTCACTTCATAGAATATTCTAAGATTGTATTTCAAGAAAAATATCTTTATATATAAATGTCTTGTGAAGAGACAGCCGAAAGAAGACAATTGAATGTGAAACCTGTATAATACTGGTACTTGTTCGTGCAAAATTATTTCTGGGAAGTTATTCCAGGTTAGTCTGTCTACAAGACCCGGTTGAACACTCCGAAACACTTCTGTAACATCGCTTGTATATAAGTCCTTATGGCGCAACACACTGCACACAGGTGTCTCGAAATGTCGAAGACATTCTCACACAATGAAGGCCTGATTTTCACTGCTTTCTTTTATTAAACGGACATTTTCACCGATAATGCCGATCACCAAGGATCACCAAGGCCGTGTTTTCTGAAGCATGAACTGTCTTCCCTCGCTCGAACGCTGGAATCGTGGGTTCGAATCCAACTCAAAGTGTGCGTCTGTGTTCGTAGCGTTCTAGCGACGGGCTGATCACTCGTCTAAGGAGTGTGTTCAGCGTCCAAAAAGGGCTGTAGAGCCAATGATTCACAAATGTATGAATGAGTGGACAAATGATCATGCCTAAACTTGTAAGAGCTTACGATGTTTAGCCGTGTTGGCACAGAGTCTACTTAACAACACTGTCGGTAATCCAGAATATATGTTAAAAACGAACAGACTTACTATAACCGCTCACTTCTTTGGGCCCTTTACGTTGGGCGCCACGCTGTTGCCGTCCTCCTTGATCCTACGTTGTGCTCCACTTATCACCGTCCTCCCTCTTCTCGTGGATGTCGAGAAGTTAGGTGGGAAGGGAGGAGATTTGTGATTGTCGGAGCTGGTACGCGAGAGCAGGTAAAGACGGGAGTATCTGGGTGTAACGCCGTGGAGCAGGGGGGCGTTGATACCAAGGCTACTAAACGCTCTCTGCGTGGCAGGTGCCTATCCCTGTCCAGTAGTACCTCCATTGAACTGTGGTTGCATTCGGCTGCCGTTGTCTTTCATTTTGGTAGGATCTGCGGGATCGGTCGTGGAAAGGTGATTATGGAGGGCAAATCACAATCCCGGTACTTCCTACTCCAACTACCCTGTCTATTTACATTCTTATTTACAATATTTACAATATTAACAAGACCGACCCACAGTCGGGTCTGCATAGTGTCTTTACTTCACGCTACGCTTCCTCTTGTTCTCCCCTTCAGGGATGTAGGCTTTGAGCCTCTCTCTCTCTGTTTCGACTAATGAGGATATGCAATTATTCCTCGTTTAACATGAACCTTTTTCCTGTCTCCATTTCCTACTACTCATTACATTACTACTACACTATCCTATCATAAAGTTTCACCCTTAACATAATCTACCATTAGTTATACATATTGAAAGCCCACATACCATGTTTATCACATAAATCATTAGTCGTAACTATAACGCAAATGTGCGTAGTCTACACACTACCAGTAATCTTAACACATACACCATAACACAGACATATTGCCGGACTATCTTCATAGGCAATTACTTGTTACATAATTATTCTCCCCTAAGGGCTCGCCGAGCACACTGGAGTTTGCTTTCAACATTTTCCACAACACTTTATCAACAATAATATTTAACAATATGGCTTATATGAGTAAACGTGACTTACTTGAAACAAGAGACGAAGGCCAACTTCCACCGCTCGTAAGGCCCATATTGAATAGAGCCTCCGGCTGACAACTGGTTATAACGATTTTAGATCAGATCCCAAGTCTCCTATATTCAGTAATTTATATCTTGAACTTGCTGAATCGGAGGTTGACGAAAGAGGGAGGTTAACTCCTCCTTTCGTCCTAAATTTCGGGGTGGAAGGTTTCCATTGGCTACCCCTACGGTTGTGGGTGGGCCCGTGGTACTTCATCGCTGCGTATTTGATAATATTATAATACACCAGTGGCCCAGTTAGTGGAGCTTCTTACTTATGCGATTACGCATAAATGCTGATCATCAACATTCTTAAGCTAGATTGCCTGTCCAGGCGTTGACATACTAATGTAATTGCTGTAAAACGTTTGTCGCAAATCTTGNGAAAATTTAAGCAACGTCTTTTGATTTTCAGTCTCGAATTTGGGACACGACACTGGGTTCTGTTCGGTAATTTGTAGAGCTGAGTTCATATCCCGGGTCTTATATGGGTCTGGCTTGGGCAGGGCAGGAAGAACCTTTCTCTACAATCACACACACCTCTTTAGACCGTTGCACTTAGTAGTCATTTAATTCCCTCCAGCTTACTGAATACAACTGAATTTATTAGTACACTTAATTTGAACTGTACTTATAATACTTTTACGGAAGGGCCGTAGTTGTAAATTTTGTGTCCGACTTTGCCGAAAGTTGTATGAAGACTCCTCTAGGTGAAATCCCTCTCTCTGAATCCTGAGGTCCACGAACCCCAGACTCCAAGAGAAATCCACTCCTCCACTTCTGCCATTGGTTAATTTCTCAAATTAGGAGGTTCCCTAAATTTTGAATTCCCAATCATGTTGCTTTGCTATGTGATTCTGGCAGATGCTGACCTGACGCTAAGGTTGACAGCCCCTTGTTGCATTGCGATCAAGGTATGAGGCTCCGGCCGTCCAACTTCTAAGTTATAGCTGTCCCAAGCTGTCAGCTCTCAAATTCTCAAAGACTTTCTGACTTTGCTGAAACTGCCAGAATTCCAGGAAAGTACCAATTGTTACTTCCTGTCCACATAGCAAAACTTGAACTATGTCACTTCTGCGTGTAAGAGCTGGCTATCTGCCGGATCTCTTTGTTTGTAATTTTGTAATCTTAACTTAATGCAGATTTAATTAAAGCACAATAGTTCATCCATCAGAATGAATGGTTACATTACTGAACATCGAGCAGTGTGTGATAAGCTTCAGAAGCTGAGAAACCGAAGACGTGAAATGGAAAACGTGGTTGCTTAGCTACTTGCTTCATTTGCAGGAGGCTTTCTAATATCTGGCATTTTTTTAAAAAGGATTTAATAGTTTATTCTGTTTAACTACGTGCTTTACATGCAGGGGGCTTTCTAATTTCTGGTAGGTTTGTAAGAAGAGTTTAAAGCTTTATTTCCGGGAATTACAATGATGGCTCAAAAGAGCGGCGCGCCGAATGCCACGTCATCTCTGCAGCACCAAATAACAAGATGCCGGAGATGATGAATTTTAAAGGAAAGTAGAAAAGCCAGTCACGCATTGAATTTTAGTCCTTGTTTGATCATTGTCTGGAGAGACCGAGGAAATTTAAACGGAATCTCAGTCAGGATAGGCGTTGTCTCGTATCGGACACGAACCCGTGCCTCCGGCATACAAGTCAGAAACGGTTCTGTTTGGGCGAACTGCATGGAAGGAATCCCTTACAGTTAGTCATGCAATTCGCCGAACTTCACAAAAACCAGTCATCCTTTTGTGTTCATTTTAATTATGCTGAACCTTAGGAATGCGTACTGTATCGAAATATCGACCAGAGGATACCATTTCATTTGGGTAAGGTATGTGGAACAAAATGTGACGGTAGTACGAGTATCTTCAATGTTTAATTACACTGCTACATTCAGTACAGGAGCTCAGTACAATGCGTTTCCTTACGGAAGTATCGGTGTGGTGGAGTTTGTCCTTACACACTTGCTGCTGTCACGGTTGCACTCCGAGCCACCGGGACACACTTCGTAACGTCCGTTCGTGCCGTTGTAAACCGCTGTGCAGTTGTCTCCAATACCTAGAAACAATTTTAGTAATATTGACTTTGTAACACATTATGTATTTATAATAACAATATTGATAAAACAACGTATTGAAAATATTTATAAGAGCCGAAAGCAACTTCCGGAAGACAATGAAGAGCAGTATCCTTTTGAACTGCGTAGGTCTGACTTTGCCTTCCGCTTGTTTTCCGTCTATGTGCAACGTCTGTTAATATTTTCTCGTTGTCATCTCTTTATTGTCACTCACTGTAACCGTTCTGTTTTCCTCTTCTCTGCAGCGTCCAGTGAGCAGACACAAGAAATCTCACAGACGAGCATTCAGAACTCTGCACATTCCAATAGGGGAACAAGAAATAACCATTCCACATTAAGAGTCGAAGAGAGGGACCATGAATTCAGTCGGAGTGTACAAGTACGAAGCCTTGAACAGCGAGGATAAATTTTTGCCTATCTACAGACGACAACCGCTATTTTTCCCGGATAATTTCTTTTGGAGCCATATTGTAGTGTTAAAGTAAAAGTGAAAACAAAAATAAACGTAACCCTGTATCAGGCCGTGAGGCCCATAAAGTTTTGAAATGTAGAGTTTTCCACATTTTCTAGACAATCGGCTAAAAGATGAAGGCAATGTTGTTAGCCCTACGCATTGGCTGCTTTTACCTCCAAGAACATTCTAAGAATATTCCTTTTACTCTTTTCTGTTAGAGGCTAAGTCGACCCCAGGGTCATTGTGCGACTGGAAAGATTAGGTCAATTGAAAAAATCCAATGTCCTAATCGGTATTTGTACCCGCGACCTTCCGGTTTCTCGCATAGCGCCTCAACCAACAACGCTAGGGCGTGTCCTCCCCCCAACTTCGAGTGTTACTAATAAGTTACATATTGGGCCATTAAATTTTGAATAGCACCTCCAAGTTCCTCACTTTCTAAAATCGTGGTGCATATGACGGACATTGTCTTTAATATAAAGGAAGTTCTGTGACAGTGGAAAATTGGTGAATGTTATGGCTCATGGATCCGTCTGTTACCGTCTTTGCTGGCGAGACCCACAAGTAAATTATCAGTCAGGTAGATAGATCGAAACTGGGGGCATGTGTTATGTCCGATGTTGTATTGTCACGTATTGTACAAATACTAGAATAGTGAGAACAAAGAAATCAGTAATATCTGTATGCCGGGAAATGTATCTAATATTGTACGTAGGTAACTTAAAAGTTTCCTAGTTCCAACGAAAGAAGCGGTATGTTAGATTGAAAAGAAATACGTGTATATACTCAGGGACATATCTGAACCCAACGGACGTGAATACATTTCATAATTCAGTGAGCTGCTTATGGAGAAACACTGTGATGTATACAGGCCATCAAGTTCTGTGCAGCCAGGTAGCTCTAGACACATAAGTCGAGCCCCATGTACAGAGGGGATGCAGCAGTCATGTAGTGCGCGTGGACTGTTGCAGGATTGGAGGCAGAGATGAATACAAGGAGAACAATAATAAACAGCATTATTGACTACTTAGCTGTTCGCCCAAGAATATTTCGTAATTTTTGTAATAATATTGTAACTGAAATAAAAAAATAAGCAATTTATTCAATATAACTACTATGGCCTGAAAGGAGAATTAAATGTTGTGTATTAATCTAATTGCCTAGAGTTGTAAAGAATTTGGAAATGTTTCTTAAAAATAGCATTTATTTCTTTGGTATTAGAGCCCCAGTGGGCCTAGGCCCACCTGCATGAACTTCTCCGTTCACTTCGGTTTTTCTAGATCTTACACATTCGGTAGGACTCCTTGGCCGGGTAATCAGCTCGTCGCATGGCCTCTACCTGTACACAAACACAGAAAGACGCACACTCACAAACTGAATATCCATGCCCTGAGTTGGATTCGAACCCACGATCCCGGTTACCAAGCGAGCTAAGACAGTCCATGCCTTAAACCTCTCGACTACCGTGACCAGCAAATAGCTTATATAGAAAGTGCAATTTTTGGGGACACAGAACAATGAAATTAACAAATGCCGGTATAACGGGATTATGATGCGAGATTCTTCTTTTCTAATACTGTCCATTACAAAAATATAGTAGACTTATTTTTGAACACTTAAGGATGAAAATGAACCAGATGGCTATGAGGTGTTCTGTTTGCTAATACTAAAGATATTTGCGGAAATATCTAGAATTACTTTGAAGGTGTTTAATTTTGAATCTATTTTTCTTAATACTATAATTTTTCACTGCTTTTGCCTACAAACCTCAGAAATAAGGTTATGAGTAATATGTGGTTATATACAGGTCTCAGTGCATGGGGAAACCCACCCTCTCCAATAACTAACTAACTAACTAACATGTAGTTATTTATATTAGAGTTTTCTTTCATACGAAAAGCGAACAGAGTTACAGTGAGTGGCAGACTCCTTCATCATAACTACTTCTACATCTGATGAAGGCCTGTTTGACCTAAACTTATAGTCACAATAAGAAGAAGACGAGAGGATATTAACCGACATTGCACATAGAAGGCAAGAAGTGTAACACAAGATTGAGAACATAATGTTTTCTTTGAATGTTGCTCCATTTCAATATTCTTAAGATCCACTGCACTTGCCCAGTCGATGGATGGCATTCCAAAGGTTTTTAATTAGGAACTTATAGGTAATGACACGGTGATATCTGTTATTCGTTACAAACCTCCTTAAAAGCCCTCTGTTTCCTTGTTGAGGCGACAAGTCCAAGTTCAACCTTAAGAATTACCGACATTTTGCTTCAAAACTTACACAGATTGTACTGTGTCATAAAACAGATGCTCATAATCTGAATATACTGGCATGTGCTCCGTTCTGCATTAGTGTTCAGAACACAATTCAGTTATCAAAATGGAAGTCGTCATCCAACAGATTACGAGCAACACGATGCATCTTGTTATTCCAGAGATCACCTTCACGTACCGACGGTTTGAACGCAAGCACCACAGCAGTTTGCAAAGCAGCAGCCACACCATCCTCTGCTATGTACAGGTACGTACTGCTCGCCGGTGTGGCAGTCGGAGGCGTTTTTCACACCGCAAGAGGAAGTTATGCACGGAATGCGAGGACAAATTGGTAGATGCCCAATCCAAAGACCAGAACCATGATTCGCTGACAAGAGTACGACATATGCAAAACTGAACACAGCAACGACAATCTGGGGAAAAATACACGTAAATCATAAGCATATTCCTCAGTTTGTAGTGTATGTCTGAGAAACTGCAAGTGGAGCTTATATGTACACTATATGTTCTTTATATATAGACTTGTGTTTGTATATAATTATATAAGCAGATGTAACTGAAACGGAACGTCTTGAACAGCTAACAGTGAATCGAGATAAGCTTTTGGGCTCGACAGAGATCCAGGGCAGTACAAAAAGCAATTAATTGAATTGAGAGATTACAGAGCAATACTACAGAACTGGAGAAGCTTTTTTCGATTTAAAATTTTTATGGAGTTATCTGTCTTCATCATTGTATTTTGCAAATGAATGCCATTTTTTCAAGTATCGTCAATATAAAAATATTGTTTCACTGCGTACTGTGACTGAATCTGCTTCTCGTCATATATAACGGAGGGAAGAGACACAAACTCCGTGGCCTGTAGTCAGCAAGCGAAGTATACCGACCGAGTGACCGCCTCTTGTCGGCGAAGCTAGTGCCAAATGCTGCGGATAGAGGGTGTCACGTGGTAAGCGCAACGGATCCCGGCGGCAGTTTGTCTCGGTTTTCTAGACCGGAGGCACCATTTCCTTCAAAAAGCTCCTCAATTGTCTTCACGAGTCTGAGTGCTCACCGTTCCAGACCCACTACTTCTCAGAAAATCTGGTATCGAACCTGGTACCACTGCCTCCGTAGGCAGGACCTCTTATCACCTTACCACACAGATTTTCGAGATGAAACACAATGTTATAAAATATTTTCTGTTCTTTACGTGTAAATATATCAAATATAAGAAACCATATATTATACAGTGTGTATAGCACATTAATGAAATCTCATTTTTATATCAGATAACCCTGTAAATTCGAATTCATTGTTACCTATATGCTGCCCTTTTATATTATAACTTGATATAAATTAGTAATGAAATTTATCGGAAATGAATCAAACATTATTTCGCCAGACAGTATTTAGTATAGAAGACAATTACGAAAATGAATCAAAACCTTTTAATTCTTTTGAATATGAAGAATTTGACAGGATACTCAACGTGATTTTTTTT